AGTTTGAGTAGCATTAGTAGTACTTATTCTTTAAATGTTTAGTAAAATTAAGCAGTGAAGCCATCAGGTCCTAGGCTTTGCTGGGAGACTTCGCTAGGTCCCCTAAACTTTGCTGGCTTCAATCTCATTACTTGTTCTTAGTCTGTTCAGGTTTTGGATTTCTTCGTGGTTCAATCTCGGTGGGTCATGTGTGTCTAGGGATTTATTCATTTATTATAGGTTTTCCAATTTTTTGGCATATAGTTTTTCACAGTAGCCTCTAACGATCTTTGAATTTCTGCAGAATCAATTGTAATGACTGCTTTTCCTTTTTTTTTTAAAATTATACTGAAGTTCTGGGATACATGTGGAGAATGTGCAGGTTTGTTACATAGGTAAATGTGTGTCACGGTGGTTTGCTGCACCTATCAAGCTGTCACCTAGGTATTAAGCCCTGCATGTATTAGCCATTTGTCCTGATGCGCTCCCTCCCATCCTCCCACCGAGTTGCCCTGGTGTGTGTTATTCTACTCCCTGTGTCCATGTGTTCTTATTGTTTAACTCCCACTTATGAGTGAGAACATGTGATATTTGGTTTTCTGTGTCTGTGTTAGTTTGCTGAGGATAATGGCTTCCAGCTTCATCCATGTCCCTGCAAAGGACAGAATCTCATTCCTTTTTCTAGCTGCATGATATTTCATGGCATATATATACCACATTTTCTTTATCCAGTCTATCATTGACAGGCATTTGGGTAGGTTTCATGTCTTTACTATTGTGAGTAATGCTGCAGTGAATATACATGTGCATGTATCTTTATAAAAGAATGATTTATATTCCTTTGAGTATATACCCAGTAATGGAATTGCTCGGTCAAGTGATATTTCTGGTTCTAGATCCTTGAGGAATTGCCACACTGTCTTCCATAAGGGCTGAACTAATTTACATTCCCACCAACAGTGTAAAAGTGTTCCTATTTCTGCACAGCCTTGCCATCATCTGTTGTTTCTTGACTTTTTAATAATCGCCATTCTGACTGGCATGAGATGGAATCTCATTGTGATTTTGATTTGCATTTCTCTAATGATCAGTGATATTGAGCTTTTGTTCATACGTTTGTTGGCTGCATAAATGTCTTCTTTTGAGAAGTGTGTGTTCATATTCTTTGCCCACGTTTTGATGGGGTTGTTTCTTTTTCTTAAAAGTTTAAGTTCCTTGTGAATTCTGGATATTAGACCTTTGTCAGATGGGTAGATTGCAAAAATTTTCTTCCATTCTGTAGGTTGCCTGTTCACTCTGATCATAGTTTCTTTTGCTGTGCAGAAGCTCTTTAGTTTAATTAGATCCCATTTGTCAATTTTAGCTTTTGTTGCAATTGCTTTTGGTGATTTCATCATAATATTCTTGCCCATACCTATTTTCTGAATGGTATTGCCTAGATTTTCTTCTAGGGTTTTTACAGTTTTGGGTTTTACATTTAAGTGTTTAATCCATCTTGAGTTGATTTTTGTATAAGATAAGGAAAGGGGTCCAGTTTCAGTTTTCTGAATATGGTTAGCCAGTTTTCCTAGCACCTTTTTTTTAAAGGAAATCCTTTCCCCATTGCTTGTTTTTGAATGACTGCTTTTTCATCTCTGATTATATTTGAGTCTCCTCTCTTTTTTCTTAGTCTGACTAAAGATTTGTCAATTTTATGTAACTTTTCAAAAAAATCAAGTTTTTGTTATGTTCTTTTTTTGTATTGTTTTGTTTCAATTTCATTTATTTCTGTTCTGATCTTTGTTATTTCTTTTCTTCTGCTACCTTTGGGTTTGGTTTGATCTTGCTTTTCTAATTCTTTGAGATGCAATGTTAGGTTGTTTACTTAAAGTTTTGTCTCCTTTTTGATGCTGGCACTCAGCTATAATCATCTCTGTTAGCACTGCTTTCATGGTATCATATAGGTTTTGGTTCTTGTTCCATTATTGAGAAAAATTTTCAATTTATTTTCTTAATCTCTTCATTGACTCACAGGTTATTCAGCAGCATGTTATTTGATTTCCTTGTGCTTGTGTAGTTTCCAAAATTCCTCTTGTTATGGATTTCTAGTTTGAGTCCATTGTGGTCAGAGAAGATACTTGATAGTTTCCATTTTTTGAGGGTTTTAAGACTTGTTTTGTGGCCTAACATATGGCCTGTTCTTGAGAATGATCCACGTACTAAGAAGAATGAGTATTTTGCAGCTTTTGGATGAAATGTTCTGTAAACATTTATTTGGTCCATTTGGCCTATAGGTCAGATTAAGTCTGATGTTTCTTTGTTGATTTTCTATCTGGATGATCTGTGAAATTCTGAAAGTGGGGTATTGAAGCCTTCAGCTAGTATTGTATTGAGGGTGTGCTCTCTCTCTCTTTAGCTCTAGTAACATTTGCCTTATTTATCTGGGTTCTCCAGTATGGGTGCATATATATTTAAAATTGTTATATCCTTTTGCTAAAATGACCCCTTTATCAAGATACAGTTCCCTTTTTTGTCTCTTACAGTTTTTGTCTTGAAGTCTATTTTGTCCAATATAAGTATATAGCTACTGATTTTCTTTTTTGGTTTTCATTGGTGGGGAATATCATATGTCATGTTTTTATTTTCAGTCTATGTGTAAGGCAAAAGATCATTGGGTCTGGTTTTTTTTTAATTAATTCATTCAATTTATATATTTTGATTGGAGAGTTTAGTTATTTATATTCAATGTTGTTATTGATAAGTGAGGACTTATACCTGTTAGTTTGTAACTTATTTTCTAATCATTCTGTAGTCTTCTCTTCCTTCTTGTCTTCCTTTTAGTAAAGGTGATTTTCTCTGTTGGAATGTTTTAATTTCCTGCTATTGTGTGTGTGTATCCATTGTATGTTTTTAGATTTAAGGTTACTATGAGGATTTGAAATCTACTTAAGATATGAGAAGTTTACACACCATAATTACAGTGTTACAATATTATATGTTTGTCTGTGTACTTACTATTATCAGTGAGTTGCGGAAGATTCATTGATTTCAGGTTGTTTCTTATTGCTCATTAACATTCTTTTGTTTCAGATTGAAGAACTCTCCTTAGCATTCCTTGTGGGACAGGTCTGGTATTGATTGAATTTGTCAGCCTTTGTTTGTCTGGGAAAATCTTTATTTCTCCTTCTATTTAAAAGACATTTGCACTGGATATACTATTCTAAGATAAAAGTGTTTTTCCTTCAGCACTTTAAATATGTCATGCCACTCTCTCCTGGCCTGTAAGTTTTTCACCCAAAAGTCTATTTCCAGTTGTATTGCAGCTTCGTCGTATGTTATTTGTTTCTCTTTGCTTGCTGCAGGGATAAATGAGCCTTTCTTTATTTTCGATCATTGTAAGTTTGATTATTAAGGTCCTTGAGGTAGCCTTCTTTGGGTTAAATCTGCTTGGTTTTTTATAACCTTCTTGCACTTGAATATTGATATATTTCTTGAGGTTTAGGAAGAACTTTGTTATTTCTTTGAATAAACTTTCTTCTCCCATCTATCTCACTTCCTCCTCTCTAAGGCTATTAACTCTTGGAATTGCTTTATTAGGCTATTTTCTAGATCTTGTAGGCATGCTTCATTCTTTCCTATACCTTTTTCTTTTGTATCTTCTGACTGTGTTTTCTCGAGTAGCCTATCTTCAAGCTCACTGATTCTGTCTTCTTGATCAGTTCTGCTATTAAGGGACTCATGCATCCTTCAGTACATCAATTGCATTTTTCAACTTCAGAATTTCTTCTTGATTCTTTTTAATTATTTCAATCTCTTTGTTAAATTTATTGGATAGAGTTCTGGAATTTTTTTCTTTGTGTTATCTTGAATGTTTTTTGAGATTCCTCAACAAAGCTGTTTTGAATTATCTGTCTGAAAGGTAATATATCTCTGTCTCTCTGGAATTGGTCCCTGGTGCCTTATTTATTTCGCTTGGTGAAGTCATGTTTTCCTGGATGGTCTTCATGTTTGTGGATGATTGTCTGTGTCTGGGCATTGAAGAGCTTTGTATTTATTGTAATCTTCAGTCTGGACTTGTTTGTACTCATCCTTCTTGATAAGGCTTTCCAGGTACTCAAAGGGACTTGGGTATAGTGTCTATGCTTTTGGTTACTGCACCCATATCTGCATTAGGGGGCAGGGACCCTAAGCCCAATAATTCTGTCATGTTTGCAGCCTCATAGAGACATGCTTTTGGTGGTTGTTCAATAAGAGCTGGAAGAAGTCTCTGAATTACCAGATATAAACCATTGTTCTCTTCCCTTACTATCTCCCAAACAAATGGAGTCTGTCTCTGTGCTACCTGGGGCTGGGGGAGGATTTAAATAAGCACCTCTGTGTCCACCCGCACTGGGATTTCACTGCATCAGACTGCTCAAGCCTGTAGGGCTCTGCAATCAACTGGTGGTGAAGTCAACCAGTCTTATGTCCTTCCTTTCAGGGCAGTGAGAGTCCCTTCAGGCCCCAGGAGGGGCCACATATACTGTCTGCGAGCCAGGGCCTACAGTTGGAAACCTTAGAAATCTACCTGGTGCTGTTTTCTACTGCTGAAACCACAAGACAAAGTCCTTTCCACTCTTCCCTCCCATCTCCTCAGGCAGAGGAATCTCTTACCATGTCCACCACCACCACCACGGACCTAGGAGGAATCCTGCCAGGGTACCACCAATGGTCACTTAAGGCCCAAGGGCTCACATTTAAAAATTTTTATTTTGTTTGTGATGGTTTTCTTTATTTATGTTTGGTAGATACATTTGCAAGTGAATGTTTGACATGTGTGTTTATCTTCAACTGGTGACATCTAGTGTCTCCCCAGGTGGTTTCTTGAAGTTTTAAGAATTAGGAGCATTTATTAAAGAAGTAAATATCCTGCTAAAGATTAAGCTTCCTTTAAATTCACAACTTATAAAATAAAATGAAATATTAGTTTTAATCTATTTTCATAAAGACTATAGTTTAACTGTTCAAGTAGTTCATTTTAACTAAATGTGTGATTTTTTCAGCAGAACGAGTCTTAGCAGTGATATCAGAGGAAGAGCAAGAAAGACTTGAAGAAAGTGAAAACAATGAGCTCCAAGTATACAACAATTTCATTTAAATTTCTGGTTGACTATTATGTTCTTTGCTTTAATAATATAGGGTAGTCCAAATGAAATTACCTTTCAGATTAGCCTTTGTTAATCAATAGATTCTAATTTACTATTTAATATTGAATTTTAAATACATTTTAACTAGTTATAAAACTTAAAAGATTTTTAAAATCTATACTAACTTATACCTCATCTTTACCCTTGGAATAGAGAGAAAACATTTTCAAAATTTTCTTTCCTTTTTTATCTTTATGACATGTTTATATGAGGAAGAAAGTAAAATGAATTATTGAATCATATTATTGAGCAAAAGAAGTTATGAACAGTTTAAGAGTGATGGCCGTTGTGTTCATGTTAAAGGAGTCATGATGGCCAGTGATTCAAAATGTGCAGTTTTATATTGCCAGTCACTAATGAATGCCAAGGCTAAACATGTATTCTGCCTCATGCTCTCTCATTGACTTCAGGTCATGTTTAGGAAGAGAGCTGGGTCATAAAATCAACCTAAGTGTTTATTAAGAGAACCATACTCTGCAGAATGGGACCTTTGGTGTTAGTGCAGAAACACAATAACATTTGAACTTACTGCAGTCGCAGAAAATGAGTACAGATTATTAAAATTTTTATCCACTGTCATTAGTACACATTAGAATATATTAGAACTGGACTTAAGCAGATAAACTGGATACATCAGAGTGTCATATTACAAAATATAATTTGAATTAAAATTTGAGAATTTGCTTTTCTTCCTGATTGGTATTGATTTTTTCTTCTAACAAAGTTTGCCTACAGTCCAGATAGTAATCTTCAGAAAAAGTACTTAAATGCACCGCACGTGCTCACTAGTTAGGGTATGCTGAGGTAAAATCTTTTCAGGTGAGGACACTTTTGTAACACTACTAATCATCTGCTCATTCATGTTTTGGTAGATATAACAAAAAATGAATTTATTCCAAACAACAGTGCCAAAGTTAAGTTTGCTGGTTTATTTTTTTCTTGCAGTTTTAGCTAAGGCAAATTATTTTTTACTTCTCCCTGTGATTTGGGAGCAGTTAAACATACAAAGAAATTTAACAATTAAATTTTAATTTTAATTACTTTAATTTTTTTTCTTTACACTTTACTGAAAATAAAGTTATTTTAAAAACATGCTCCTGGCTGGGCACAGTGGCTAATGCCTGTGATCTTAGTAGTTTGGGAGGCCGAGGTGGGAGGACTGCTTCAGTCCAGGAGTTCAAGACTAGCCTGGGCAACATGGTGATGCCCCATCTCTACAAAATTGTTTTTGAAAATTAGCCAAGCATGGTAGCATGTGCCTGTGTTTCCAGCTACATGGGAGGCTGAGATGAGAGGATCACTTGAGCCCAGGAGGTTGAGGCTGCAATGAGCCATGTTTGTACCACGGCACTCTAACCCGTGCAACAGAGTGAGACCTTGTCTCAAAAAATAAAAACAAAAACATGCACTCTGACAAAGACAACTTCTGAGAAACAAAACAAGCAAATTAACCTTTCCCTTTTGCATCTGCCAAAAATCTCTCAAGACCAAGAAAAAAATAAAGATTGGATAGAGAGGATACGTCTGTATATTCAGGACTTTTTTGTGTAAAAGTCTGAGGAAATGTATATTAAATGAGGCAAATTAGAGTGGGAAAATGAAAATGAATTCACTTCTTACAAGTGAGTTAAATCAGAGGTTTGGTGAAATCTGTGAAGAATACAAATTACTGTTTTTCCTGAAGCCACTCCATGATAGCTCAAAAGGAGAAACAAACATAAAGGAAATTCCTTCTAATTTGACAAATAATATACTTGTGAGGGAAAAAGATGCATCTGGAGTGCCTGTCTTTGTGGCATTGCAGGCATTTTGTTGAACACATGGAACTCAGTCTCAAAAATGTGTGTATATCTCATTCATATTCTGGGTTTTTGGTACATGTTTGCCAGACATCTTCTAAGCTTTATTTAAATGAAAATAAATTAGACTGTGAAAATAACAAACCAGATAATGAATATGTTTTTAACATAGATGAGGAGAATTTTTATAATGATAGAGACTCTAAGAAAGCATGGAGCTGTGAGCCGAGATTGCGCCACTGCGCTCCAGCCTGGGCAACAGAGTGAGACTCCGTCAAAAAAAAAAAAAAAAAAAAAAAAAGCAAGGGACCCAGAAGTTGTTACAATGGAAATGAAAGAAGGTCAAGAGTTTGATATGCAAATGACAAAAAAATATGACCAAGATACCATGAGGCATCAAATTAGACATCAGGCATATGCCTCTATGTAGTGATCCAAAAGGTCTTTCAGATTCATTGGGTACCCCCTCCAGAGAGATAAAACATGATTCAAATAAAAAGCCACAGTATTTCTGCAGATATAGGCACTTAGAAGAAAACAAAAGCAATACAAGACTTGTTCCAGAAGCCATTCTATGACAGTCTTAGTGCTAGTAACTACAAAATCAGGGTGCCTGAATTAGAAAATTTGAGTTCTTTATCACTACATCATGACAGAACATCAAAAGTAGATCTACAAAGAAAATGACAGCAAGATACACAAAGGTTTAAGAATGAAGTAGACATATTACAAGTAGAGTTCCTGGTTTTGAAGAAAGTTCAACTTCAAAAAGTGGTAGAGGTTTACTTGTTGTTACTCTTTGTTTTCTCTCTTTATCAATCATCGGATCCATTCTGAATTTCTACTGATGATAAACTTACGTGTAAAATTGGGTTATCTAAATCTGTACATAGAAATAGATTATTTCTGCTATCTAAATGATAGAAGTTCAGAAAAACTTTCTCTAATCTTTGTTCCTTGATCAAGCAAAGTCTATCAAGTTTTCCAAGTGGTATAAGAAATCATACACTAATTTATCTATATGCCTATGACCTTCAGAACCAGGATAAGCATAAAGAAAATTGCTTAAAATTATAGCCCTAGGGTTTTCCCTTCCGTTTATGTAAAGATGAGATGTGTTTAGCAATAAAATGGAAATACAATGGGAAGGAAGCAATGACTGAGAAGGGAGATAAAAATGTACTAGTCTTGAGAGTTGTAAGAAATATTCTTGGCCAATGAATCTGTTTCTTGTGCTTTCATGTTTTGTAGTGTATCTGTTTAACTGCAACTCTTGCAACATATAATTATATTATAACCACTTTCAATATTTTTGAGAAGTATATATACTTTCACATAATTTAAATAACTCTCAAATGTTTCTGTTGAGTCAGACTTCTATATTCTATTGTTTGATAGAGTATGGTAAGTTAATGGCGTATATGATATTTTTATATAAGTATCATAAATTCTCAGCCAAAAATTTAGTGTATGACTTTAAAGTAGAAAACTGAGTTCTAGACAGATAAAAAAGAAAGATAAAAGGCAGTGGGGAAAAGAATAGCTTAGTGCACAAAGGGTGAAGCTTCCTTTCTGTTCCTGAAGCCCCACAATATCACATCTTCAAAAGCTAGCTGTTTAAAATCCAAGTTGTAAAGAAGGAAGAAGACAATTTTTGTCTTTGTCTTTTATGAGGTGGTGGTGGGGGTTCTGGCCTTTGGTCCACTGAATAAAATGATGTTCTTAATTTAATGCCATTTGTCTGCAATAGTCAAGTAGTGATATTCATACTGGCCTCATGAAAAGCAGAAGCATTTGATACTTTTCATAGGAATTAATGATCTTTCTATAATGTCAAAACCCCTGCTACTAACAAAACATGTTCTAGTTGTTGAAAGTGATTTAATCTTAGTTTTATATTAATGGAGGGGTTAGTTTATTATTTCCACTGATAGGTAAGAAGAAAATGTATAGGCAGTTCAGAGACCATATTTTGGATGTTCTTCTTTTTACTTTTGAGAAGAGTAACAGTCTGCTCCAATAGTGTCTAATTTGAGTACAAAGAGTTTGAACACAATGGTATGCCACAATATATACTAGTGATAATTTACTAATATGTATTTTGTTCCTAGTAAAATAGTTCAGTATATTTCCCCCATTTCATATTTATGACTCTTTCAAACGTTATAAAGAGGAAATAGAAGTTATTGCAATGACAAATGATTTTATGACTCTCTAAGCAAAGCTCTATAATTTTATCTTATTTACTATTGGTGTTTTGAAATAAAAAAGTTTCTTTTTGTATTTAGTTACACTACAGAAATAAATGTGATTTGGTGGAGGTGCACTAGAAGTGGTTAGAAAACCTGGGGAAAATTTTGCAGCTTGCTTATTTTTTGACCACTCCTTTGCAGAATTGTGATAATTGAGTTTGGTGATGTATCTAAATACATCACCAAGTGCTTAGTGAGATGCTTATATTTAGCATTTATGCATGCATGTCATTCTTAGGACTGCCTATAAAAAATACTACCAAAAGAGAATATCTGTAGAATAGTCTCAGGAAAAAGGAACTTAAAGGACATTGGGAATTTCATCTGTCCAAATATATGCAGAACTAAGGCTCTTATTATATGGTAGTATATAGGTTAGATATCAGAGTGTAAACCCAATATTTAATGTAGTAAATTTTAAAAATCTTTTATTTTACACCTTTGGGTTTGTTATTGTTCTGAGAAAGGTTTCTCCAATTCTGGGAACCTTACACATCCTCTAGTGGTTTCTCTTTTCCTTTTATGGATTCATTGTCTTTAAATAAATCATTGACCTTTGGAGAATTTATGCTCTACGAGGTTTGAAGTTGTAATTCAACTTTTTTTCCCAGTTAGATATTCATTCATGGCAATGCTTTCATTGTATAAATGTGCAGGATATTCTTTAATTTCAGAGAAAGTAATGAGATGTCATTGTATTGAATGCTAGCTAAAAGTTTCCTTTGTTTATTTAGATTTCTCATGGGCATAAGAAAGAAAAAGATCTGTTGTACGAAAATTGCATGTTGCAGGAAGAAATTGCCAGGTTAAGACTGGAAATAGACACAGTGAAAAATTTGGACCAGCAAAAGGAAAATAATTATCTTGAGCACATTAAAACTGTGAAAGAAAAGAATGATTTCCTTCAAAATACTTTGAAGCTGAACGAGGAAACATTTACAACAACGATATTCCAGTACAGTGTACAGTCTGAAGTTTTGAAAGCTGAGAATGAAATGCTCAGTTTTAAATTGAAGGATGAAAACCAAAACCAGGAGAGACTGGAAACAGAAATTGAATCATATCGTTGTAGACTGGCCGCTGCTATACAAGACTGTGATCAAAGTCAGGCATCAAAAAGAGATGTAGAACTCGATTTCCAGAGAACAAGACAAGAGTGGTTTCATTTAAAGGAAAAAATGAATTTTGATATGAGCAACCTAAAAGATAAGAATGAGATGCTTTCTGAAAAACTTGCTAATGCTGAAAATGAAATCAGAAGCCTCAAAATGAAGTGGCACCACACAAAAGATGCTCTAAGAGAAAAGACATTGGTTTTAGAAGATGTCCAAAGAGACCTAACCCAATCACAATGTCAAAGGAAAGAAATTGAACAAATGTTTCAGAATGAAGAAGACAAAGTGAGTAAATACATTCAAAAGCAAGAATCTCTAGAGGAGAGGTTATCTCAAATACAAAACGAAAATCTGTTACTTCGACAGCAACTGAATGAGGCTCACAAGAAAGCTGATAATCAAGAAGAGACAATAATTAATATCCAACAGCATTTTAATGCTATTGTCAAAAATCAAGCTCAGAGTGAAGAGCAAAGTCTTCTACTGGAGCAGGAAAACAACAAGTTAATTAATAAATGCAATTACATAAATGAAAGATTGTACAAATATGAAAAAGAGAAAGCAGAAAGAAATGTAAGTATTGAGAAAGAAAATATTTTAAAACTTCTTGAAAGAAAATATAAAGCAATATTTGGTTTTTGCTAAATGATGAGTCTCATTGAATACAAATATATATGTATTATAAACATATTTGCTTTATCAGCCTAGAAGCATGCCAGCAAAAAAAAAAAAAAAAAAAAAAAAAAAAAAAGACTGAAAAGATGCTTTACTTTGAGTAAAGAAATAGTGTCACCTATGAAATGTTGAGAGGTTAAGTTACAAGTTGTTAATAGAGACTAGTATCAATAGTGTAGTCTTACACTGCTGAAATAATACCTTTTTTAAAATTTGAGGCAGAGTCTCACTCTGTTGACCAGGCTGGAGTGCTATGGCACGATCTTGGCTCACTACAACCTCCGCTTCCCGGGTTCAAGCGATTCTCCTGCCTCAGCCTACCGAGTAGCTGGGACCTCAGGTGCGCACCATCACACCCGGCTAGTTTCTGTATTTTTAGTAGAGATGGGGTTTTGCCATGTTGGCCAGGCTGGTCTCGAACTCCTGACCTCAGGTGATCCACCCACCTGGGCCTCCCAAAGTGCTGGAATTACAGGCATAAGCCACCACAACGGGCCTGAAATAATAATTTTCATGTCTTTATGTGGCCACATTTTGAGACCATGATGAAACAGATAAATGGAAATGCTCCTACCGGAAGTGAGTATTTTGAAGTTAAGATTCAATTTGGTGGGTGATTTCGACAGTTAGGTCCAGATTTCCCAGGTGAACTGAAGCGTACTGCTGTATCTCATAAGACTTTCCCTCAGGAGCTTCTTATATATTGAAGTTGGTTTAATTTTATTTTTATTCGTGTCAGTTTGACTTAAATCTGAAAATATTTCAATCTCAAATTATTGTCATGACCTCTCAACTCTGACAGGATTCACTTTTAATTAAGTATAATTTGGGATAGATGTGAATGTCAGTAAAACCATATTTCATTTCATCTTACCACTGGCATTTGTAATTTATTTTGAATGTTTTTACAAGTAATTTGTGCATAATTTTTATTTCTAGACTCAATGACTAATTTCATTTGGATATAACTTTGTCCAGTACAAAGATAATTGTAGCAATCTGAGATTTCTTTGTTTGGCGTTGGGTCCCCATGTTCAAACTAATGAGGGGTGACAGGATTCACATATAGTGGGAATGGAGTGAGTAGGAAAGAGAGTGTAGGAGCTGAGATCAGGGAAGTGGAGGCAAGATTATCAAGGGCTTCAAAGACCATTGAAATTTTAGTTTTATTTCAATACAGCAATCTAGTGGAAGGATTTGAGCAGGCAATTGAATAAATGAGGAATTGTGAAGTTGATTTGAACTTCTAATAAAGAAGAGAGAAAACATTTCAGAGTATAGAATTTACAACCACTAGTCTCACTCACATACCCATTTCTTTCTGAGACTTCAGTAGATGATTAAGCATTGCCAACTTAGGTGATGAATATATAATGGGCTGTATCGGTTGTCTAAGTTACAGAATACTGATTTGGCAGGAAAATAACACCTTTTCTGTCCTTAACTGAATTCAGTATTGAATAGGAATGTTCATTACACATGAGGAAAAGAAGGTGAATCAAAGTATGTGGTAATATTTTTCAAAGTATATATGTTAGAGTTAAATTCTATGACCATCATTTAATAATAAGGTGACATAAAATCAATATCAAAAATATCTTTACAGGAAATTATGAGACAAATTCAACAAGAATTGGCTGATACTGTGAAAAAACAACCTGTATCAGAGCCTTCACTAGAGGCTACACCATGTTGTGTTAATTTAGATGAAACACGGGACTCAAAGAGGAAATCAGGTCAAATCAGAAGTCAAGTATGTATAAAATATAACATGTCAACAGTTAGTCTATAGCTGGTTAAATAATATCAAGTGTTTTAGGATACTAATTTCAGTGAACAGCTTTCTTTTTTATTTTTGTTATAATTAATTTTATTACAATTTTATTACCATTATAATATACTTATTTCTTAACCTCTTGACTTTTATTCTGTCATTTTTTCCTCTTAATTATGTACATATTTTTACTATAATATTTACCTTCAGGAAAAGTTGGGAATTAGACATCATTTCTCACAAAAGTTGAGAGACTTTTTTTCTGTGTAACAGTATTTTTTAGTGATTTTCTCTATTGCCATGGTGAGGCACACCAGATTAAATCAGAGGATAATGTTTATTTCAGAAAATTGTCTTATTTCCTATCTTTACTTTTGTGAATGGGTACAGAATCTCTGTATATTTATTTCATGCATTTCAGGATAATGCATACAGGGAAAAACTGTTATACTGGTCTTCAAAATGCAAATGTTTTAGGTTAGTTTACAAACTACTTGAAATGTTAGGCATTTCTTTCCTATTTTGTTTCTTTTAAATATATTGTAAAACAGAAATATTCAGATCAAGTATAGTACATAATCCAAAGTAGAGAAGAAATTTATGAAAATCCTGCCATTTGATTTTTAAAAGCAACTTTATTAAGATATAATTCACCTACCATACAGTTCACCCATGTAAAGTGTGCGATTCACAGTTTCTTAGTATATTCACACAGTTGTGTAACCACCACCACCATCAATTTTAGAACATTTTTATGACCCTGAAAAGAAACTCTGCATCCCTAAGCTATCATCGACCAGTTTTCCCCTTTTTACTCAGCTCCAGGGAACCACCAGTCTCCTTTGATTGTACAGATTTGTCCATTCTGGATGTTTTCTATCAGTGGAATTACACAATATGTGGTCTTTTGTGACTTTTTTTTCCCACTTAGCATAATATTTTAAGGGTTTTCTGTGTGGTAGCAGGTATCAGTACTTAATTTCTTCTTATTGCTGAGTAATATTCCATTGTGTGAATATACCAATCATTTTATTTATCCACTCATCAATTGATGGACCATCAGGTTGCTTCCAGTTTGTACTGTTATTAACAAAGCTGCCATGAACTTTGATGTAAAAGGGCTTGTGTTTGCACTTTTTTGTAAGAGTGCATATGTTTTCATTTCTATTGGGGTTATACCCAGTGGAATTGCTGGGTCATGTGTTAACTCTTTGAGGAGCTGCCGGTCTGTTTTCCAAAGTGGCTGTGCCATTTTACATTCTTATCAGTATTGTGAGTGTGTTCTAATGTTTTCATACCCTTGCCAAAATTTTCCATATTTTTGACTGAGAAAAGATTTCATTCCAGTAGTGCTATGAGGTACTTTATTGTGGTTTTGACTTGCATTCTTCTAATGACTAATGACTTTAAACATCTTTGTATGTGTTTATGAACCATTTGTATATCTTCTTTGGAGAAATATCTATTCAAATCCTTTACCCATTTAAAATTTTTTTTATTTCTGAATTTTGAAAGTTGTTTTTGTATCCCAGGTGTAAGTCCCTTATCAGATGCATGATTTTCAAATATTTACTTCTACTCAATGGCCTTCCTCTTTGCTCTCCTGATGGTGCCTGTTCAAGTTCCAAATTTTGATCAAGTCCAGTTAATCTATTTTTCCTTTTGGTGTTATGTCTAAGAAACCACCGGCAAATGCAGTCACAAAGATTTATGCCTGTGTCTTCATCTAAGAATTTTATAGTTTTAGCTCTTACATTTAGCTATTTTGAATAAATGTTTAGATATTGCATTTGGTGAGACAATACCCTTTGTTGGAAATACTATTCTTTTCTCATTTGTTTTTTAACTCTTGGTGAAAATGAACTGAATACAAACATACAGATTTAATTTTGGATTCTCAACTCTAATATGCTGGTCTATGTCTATCCTTGTTCACTAACATGTCTTGCTCAATTTGTATGACATGGAGAAGCATTTTGTTACAAAATAAAGATAAGATGGTCTCACCTTCTTCATACAAATAGGCTCAAAGTAAGGTAAAGGGGAAATTGTACTTAATTTCTTAACATTCAAAGGACACATTTGTTTTACTGCTGAGAAGATTAAAGATAGTTCCATAATATTCTCTATTTTCTCATTGAAGAAATGAACATAAACATTGAATACTAGATTGATTAGTAAACACTCAAAGTTACTTATCTCTTAGAATTTCAATGAATTGAAATCAGGTCAAACATCTGATTTTGGTTAGAAAATCAAAATATTGCTAGTTTTTTTCACCTTTTATACTTTGTGAACCCAGAAGATCTAAGCCAGGTCTCAGTTAATTTAGAGAGTTTATTTTGCCAAGCTTGAGGACATGCCCATGACACAGCTTCAGGAAGTCCTGATGACATGTGGACAAGGTGGTCAAGGCACAACTTGGTTTTATATGTTTTAGGGAGACATGAGACATCAATCAATATAGGTAAGAGGCACATTGGTTCTAGAAAGGTGGGACAACTTGAAGCAAAGGCAGGAAGACTCAAAGTGGGGAGGGAGCTTCCAGGTCCCAGGTAGGTTATACACAAAGAAATACGTTCTTTTGAGTTTCTGATTAGCCTTTCCGAAGGAAGCAAGTCAAATATGCATCTATCTCAGTGAGCGGAGAGGTCACTTGGAATAGTATGGGAGGCAGGTTTGCCCTAAGCAGTTTCCAGCTGGAGTTTTCCTTAGTGATTTTGGGGGCCCAGGATATTTTCCTTTCACAACTTCAAACCATATATTTCCTTTCATCCTCACCATCTTTATCCCATAACTTGAGGAACAAATTCTAAAAAGGCTCTTTTTCTTTATCAGACTTTGTAACTGAAGAAAATTTTAGAAAAACTTTCTCCTCAATAGTTCTTATGCCTTTCTCCTAATTGTCTGCTGCTTCTCGTTAGCATTGTTTGTTGTTAATAAATTAAATTCAGCACTTATTAATTCCTACTTTAAAGGACATTAATTTCTACTGTGTAAGTTATTTTTTCTTGATGTCTCTTTGTTTAAATCAGATTTTCTGTTTATTTTTTCCTAAAAAATTATCTAAAGTTGAGTCGCTGAAAACACCATTTATTTAGTTCAGCCATCTGTGGCTGGGGAAAACCTTGGCCGGGGCAGCTTATCTCCATTCCCTTGAGCTTCACTTGGGATAAATCAGAGGTTGGAGGACTGGAATCCTCAGAAGGCTTGTTCCCTAACTGTCTGGTTGTTCATAATGGCCATTGACTGAAACTTTAGTTGGGGCAGGCAGCTCAAATACCTTCATTGGAACTCCTAGGCTGTCTTTGTGGCCTGAGCTTCCTCACAACATGGGGGCTAAGTTCCAAGGACAAGCAGTGTGAGATGGAGGGCCTTTTCTAACTTAATGTTGGAAGGCACGTGGTATCACTTTCACCACATTTCTTCATTAGAGGCCAGTCAGTAGGGTTGGCCCACAGTCTACTTCTTTATAGGATACAGTTTTTCTTCTATTTTTATTATTTATCTATTTATATATATTAGAAATTGGATCTCACTGTGTTACTCAGGCTGGCCTTAAACTCCTGAGCTCAAGGGATCCTCCTGCTTCAGCCTCCCAAGTTGCCATGACTACAGGCATGTTACCCCATGCCTGGCTTTCTTTTATATTCTGTGGTCATATATATTTGTACATATTTATAGGATACACAGTAATATTTTGATACATGTAAATAATGTATAATCATCAAATCAGGCTAATTATTATATCCAGCACTTCAACCTTTACCATTCTTTTTTTTTGTAAACATTCATAATCCTCTCTTCTAGCTTTCAAAAAAATACAATAAATCATAGTTAATCATATTCACCCTACAATGCCACAGCACACTAGAGTTCATTCTATCTAGTGATAACTTTTTATCCATTAACCAACCTCACCCCATGCCCCACTCCCCTTCATTTCCCAGCTTCTAATATCCACAATTCTATTCTCTACTACCGTGAACTCATTTTTAAAAATTAGCTCCCACATGAGTGAGAACATACAGCATTTGTTTTTCTTTGCCTGACTTATTCTACTTAACATAATGTCCTCCAAGGTCATCTATGTGGCTGAGAATGATATAATTTTATTCTATTTTATGGCTGAATAATCTTCCATTGTGTACAGATACCACATTTTCTTTATGCATTCATCTGTTGATAAACATTTAGATGGATTCCATATCTTAGTAATTATAAATAGTGATACAATAAAAATGGCAGTGCTGGTATTTCTTTGATACATTTATTTTCTTTCTTTTTGATAAATACTCAGTAGTGGGATTGCTGGATTGTTTGATACTTCTATTTTTAGTTTTTAAGAAAGCTCCATACTGTTTTCCTTAATGGCTATACTAATTTACATTCCCTCCATGAGTGCATAAGTTTCCTTTTTCTGCAACCTTACCAGCATTTTTTACTTTCTGTCTTTTCGATAGTAGCCATTCTAACTGTAGTGAGATGATATCTCATTGCAGATTTATTTCCTTTCCTGATGATTACAGATGTTGAGTATTTTTTCATATATCTCTTGGCCATTTGTACATCTTCTTTTGAGAAATGTCTATTCAGATCCTTTGCCCACTTTTTAATCAGATGATTAATTTTGTTTTTGCTGTTGGGTTGTTTGAGCTCCTTATATAGTCTGAATATTAGACCCTTGTCAGATGAATAGATTGCAAACATTTTCTTCCATTATGCAGGTTGTCTCTTCACTCTGTTGGTTGTTTCCTTTGCTATGAAGAAACTTTAATTTTGATATAGTCTCATTGGTCTATTTTTGCCTGTGTTTTTGATGTTTTAGTCATCACAGCTTTGCCTAGACCAAGGTACTGAAGTATTTCTGCTATGTTTTCTTCTAGTAGTTTTACAATTTTGGTTCTTATGTTTGTCTTTAATCCATTTAGAGTAGATTTCTGTATATGGAGAACTATAAGGATCTAGTTTCATTCTTC